TAAAATCTTTGACACGAAGCATTTACAATTTTAACTTAGTTGATATAACCAAATTACCTTGTTACCCCCACTGACACAGCACCACAGTTTCTTTAGAAACTTTCAGCCTTAAGTTGATACTGGTTCCTGATTATTAAATGCATATAGCCCACAACATTTATTGGTCAAAAGAAGCCAAGATTACCCAAGAAATAAAATATGACCATGCACAGGCTTGGAGGCTATAATTAAGTGTGGGGGGCCCACCTGTGTGCATAGGCCTATACAACATTGCTGCTATATCACAAATAGTAACTGATTGTCAGTAGTCCCAGGTGATAATTAGAAGCCCTAGCGGTTGTTACTGGTGTTTTCTGTCTTTCTTTCTTTTTCAGAAAAACGGTCAAGCCATCCAACTCAGCTAATAAATTAGGGTCTTCTCTTTCTCTCACTCTAGGGAGGAAGAAAGCGGTAAAGAAAGACAGCTTTAATTGGGAACCAGGTTAACCTAGCTCAAAGGCTCTTGACTATTTATGCTACCCTCACCACTCACACAAAATAGACAATGAAAGGAAAAGGGGAAGAAAATGAAAATGATTGATCTTAAAATTCAAACAAGTTCGTTTTCTTTCTGACATCTCCTGCTAGCATAAATTTTATCCGGTACATGACCCCAAGCATGTGTATCACCCGTGACTTGACCCGAAAACCCGAGGGATGGAACTAAAAAAGGAAAAAAAAATTATCACGCATCATCGACTAGGGAGACCGCTGAACAAAAAAGGGGCCGGCGTATTACTTAAAGGAATCGTAAAATTTACAGTACTTTGGTGGCCGTGAAAGAGCTTCCCAGAACAACAATTAAATAGCTGTTGTGGCAACCGATTGTTCACCTTATCGTTAAGATGAGCATGCTTTGGTGGGTGACAATAATCTTTTTCAACTTAATGAAAGAACGTGACGATTTTAAAGTGATATTACCTTCCGAAGCAATGGAGCGACACAATAACAAATTTAAACTTTTCATATATTAATGTTTGCAGCTGTTTCTAAATTTAATTGCAATTTCGGTTCCCTCTGTAACGCTGAAGTTGTTTATATTCAAGAGTTTTATTTTGTTGCGATGTAATTTAATTCATGCATTGTTTTGTTTTGTGTAGAGCAATCTTCCTTGATCGCGGAGTTGTTAATGTAAAACGAACGATGTCGTCTGATGCCTTGAACGGGATGGAAGTAACTGCTGATAAGGTATGGTGGTACAAGACTCATAAAGATTTAAAGTTTAAGTAGCTCATATTGATGTTAAAAAGTACGGGCCTTAGTTTTCGCAAATCCTGTTAATAATCAATCTCAGTGCTACATGTGCAGAGAAGCATGGCCGCAAAAGTTAATTGTCATGTGGACTTTGCGCCAACTTGAGGGCATAAAACGTCACGAAGTACTTCTAAACAAGCATATTTTAGCACGTAGAGAGTATTTCTCTACAAAAGAAAAATTCCATGAGTTTGTTTCTACGTATAGATGCATAAATTTATTATTTTTTAATTGTTTTGTTCTGATCGCTGTGGTCGTCCTTCAGGTCTCGGCCACCAGCTTAATCGGTCTATTTAGGAAGAGCGGAAAATGCCTTTTCACGCGATGTACAAGCGGAATGCCATCGACCTGTGCGTTTTCCAGCTTACGGTTTTTGTTAGCTGATAATTTTTTGGTCGATGTGTTCGAAAAACTACCTGATACCATTATTTGTTCACTTATGCAAGTCGCTCTCTGTCTCGTCCTTCGTTGTTTACTGACAATTGGCTTACGTATTTACATGTAATAGCGAAGAGCTTAACCCTAACCTGTGAAAAAGCCTATCCATAAGTGTATTCATTTTTACTTGTTTGTATTGGTTTTTCTTCGCGTAAGTAACATATCTTAACACATCGACACTGCTCAATTTAGAGGAAAAGAAAAATGATAATAGATTTGCAAGTATTCCAAACGGATGAATGTCTGTTATCAGAAATTATTAAAACTGTAATTATCTTTTCTTTTTATCTTGTTAGCAGAAAGATAGTAACTGTCTGAAATAACTTCTAAAAGTTCAAAGATGCACCACGGACTAACCTTACCGAACATTATGTTCAGAATTTTGACATTTTTATAAATCTGCCGGTGAAAACCATTTCTAGACACAAAAAGGAAATCACACCTATCTCTCACAAACTTTTCCACTACTTAGCCTCCTTTAAGATGAATACTGCTAACTAATTTTACAGAAAATATTTTGAGATCATGAGATTTTTATAGCTACATGTACTTTACAGCCACAACTTGGAGTTGAAGTAGATGTTTCCCTTCCTCTTTTTGAATTTCAATATTGAATCCCATCATTGAATAAAATCTCCCATTCTGATTTGTTAACAAAGCGAGGTATTTAGAGTGGAATTGTGAGTTGAATTCAAGGGTTAGTGATATTGTTTCACCTCTACGTAAACATAACAATTTTAAGTAATGCTGTATCCTTTTTTCTCATTTTTATTCTATTATGCAATTCAAGGAAAATTCATTNTTTTCCTATAGAATTAAAAGCTCTGCATCAAAAGCTGTCTCACACCATAGTTGAAAATTAAATAATTTAATTGTGATATTTCTCTCTATTTCCTTGTGATGGTTCAAAAATTGTATTAGATCTCTGCTGTCATGGGACCAGTTTTAATCATATTTTTTCTTTTGATTTTTACTTTTGATTTTTCCTTGTTCTGCCCAAGATTAAGTTCTGCCCACGCGACAGTGTGACCTTCAATTGTGAAAGGTCATTTCTACAACAGTTAATTAAATATTTTCGCTTGCTCTCCTGGGTGTCTGTCATTGAATTTATTATATAAACACCACTGAAATAGCACCTTTTGCAGCAGAAGTGAAATGATTAACCATTTTATTGGTGTTTATGTAATAAATAGTCTGAATATTACATGATCCCTTGGAGATACAAAATTCGTCTTTCTGTGCTAAAAAATATCTTGTCTGCTTCGCTCACTTATGAAATATTTATCAACACTTCAGAAAGTTTGTATCTCTGCGCCGCCATGTAATATCCTCTATGATTGTCTTAAAATGGGTTTTACTGCTGATTGATGACTCAGTGGTAATTTTAGTTGTTGTGAATGGAAAATTAAAGAATATTTTTGAAAGGGTGTATATTAATTAATATTGTGTAGTTTAATGGCTTTATCTTGTCATTGCTGATTTAAAATCTTTGACACGAAGCATATCATTTTTAAAATCTGCCTGAGACCCTCAGACATAATTTTGATCAAACTGTTACAAGTGTGTTTATGTGAGGGGGAGGGAAAGGACTGCTGAAAGCTTTCTGTCATATATTATGTTAGGTTTAGTTGTAAATGTTCAAGTGTATGGAAAATTAAACTTACAGAATGTTCCTTTCTCATAGTTAATGGCTCTCGTAAGTGGTTTGAAGGGGTGTTTGTTAACTCATTGTGTATATAGTTTAATTGATTTGTTAAAATCTTGATAGAAATAATAGTGATTTCCACTGCTGATTTAAAATCAAACGTATCACAATCATCTCATATAATTATGCAATCAACCCTCAAACAATTATTTAGATCAAAGTGTAACAGGCGTGTTTTTTTTTTTAAGAGATTACTGCTTAAAGATACCAATCATAATAATCATGTCACTTTCTGTCGTACTCTGAACTTTATCAAATGGTTAATGATTGATTTTAAAAATGATCAACTGCTACCTTGATGGTTTGCACTTGGCACAATGCCTACTTAGTCTGATTTTCAATGTCTTATAATAAGATAAACAGTGGACGTAAGATAATGGTAGACTTTGTACTACGAATATTGATGTATTCAAATTCTGCATAGTTTCATGTTTTGGATACTGGTCCAAAACAATTTCAGAAGTTCTTACTTAGTGGAGTGTCCTTACATCTGATTTTCAAGTTTTATTGCAGGAAGTAATTTGTTAGATAACAAGTCTGAATCTTTTAGAAATGTGCAGTTATACTAAATTTTGGGATAAAGCCAACTTAAGTTGGACTTAACTGTCAATGAGATATAATTATTTAAAACAGCAAATCAAGAACTGTTTTGAATAAAACTGTTGTTCTGAAATATACCTTGGTCATTTTCGTCTTACTTCCTATTTATAGACTCCGTGAGACTTGAGATCTCTTAACACACAGACAAATTTGCATACTCACTTTGAAATATAATCCACATGCCTATTCGTACTTGTACACAAAAATATTTTGAGTAAAAACTTAATACGTGTCCATCACTTTTTTTTGTCAGAAGTAAGTTCTTTAATTAGTCTTCTTTCACTGGAGATTGTTTCAGGGAAAAGATGATTTTAAAATTTACTGCACATAGTGTTTGCTTTTTTGGTTTCTCCAAACTTTTGACATTTTGTAGGCACTGTTACATGTGGGTGTCTGTGGGTTTAAGTAGAGATTTACTAAGATTTAGAACTTAGTTGCTTAATACAGATAGCAACAACAAGCCTTTTGCAATTCCTGTTTATAAACAATACTGTGCTAAGCAGAACAGCTGTGAGTGTCATCTGTAGTATGGACTCTATACTGACTTGCGTACATACTTGACTTGTAAGTGAGGATATTTTTAAATTAATGCTATAACACGTTTTGCTAAGAAGAGAAAATTGTGCAAGTTTGTTTTCAGGTTAAGGTGCATCCAATGTAAACTCATAATTTTCTGTCACATTTTTGGTCTGATATGTGTCGTCCTCTGAGGTTTCAGACAGCAGTACAATAAACTTCAATACTTTGGGTAAGAAATAACTTTGGGTGCAATGTGAATGAGATATACCATCAACTTGTGCTTTTACATACCAAATATTTTCAGTGAGCTCACAGTACTTTAAGTTTGTAAACAGGTCTCCCTAGAAAACATTTAATACTTTATGCATTATTTATTTCCACATGCAATTTGATTCCTATCACGTCTTGCTTTGTGCAAACATTTGGCTAATATATCTGCATTGGAAAGTGAAGGACTTTATTCCAATTAATGGAAAAAGCTATTAAATACATGTATTGCATTTATTTTAACAAACTTTGGTGTTTATTAATATTTTTTTTTTATTTAAAGAATTCCCAGTGTCCTAACTGTACACAGACACTGCTAAAATTAAATTGAAATAAGATTTTACAACTTGTCTATATGTGGTCTTCTACCAAAAGTCACTGGGATGGATATTTTTGTTTCTTATTATCTTAATAGCAGTTAAACAGTTACTGAATGACAGAGCTTCCGAGAATTAAAAATGCATCAAAACTTTCTTTGCTGAACACTATTTTTAGGTTTTTGAGAATTTACACATTTTGCCCAAAAACAGGAAAGCACAGCTACCCTCAATGATTTGATAATTAATAACTTAATAAACCACTAAAGATGAAAACAGTTTCATAAATTTAATATACAGAAAGTGTTTCAAGATCATTGACCATTTTATAAGTGAAGGCTGTGCTCTAAGGAAAATTGAATGGAGCCCAGTGCTTTGAAACTGTGAAATCCAGGGTGCCCAGCATAATTATGCTTTGAATGAAAAAAAAATTAAAATTCCTGAGTTGCTCAAGAGCAAAAGCAAGGAACCAGGGGCCACTTGTTGCTGCTGGGCCTTGTTAAATGAAGCTCTTGCACTTCTTAAGATGAGTGCTGTAAGCTTATTCTATGAGAAATATTTTGAGATCTTGACCTTTTTATGTTAACATTTAGCTAGGGAAAACGGAGGTTCCAAACATAAAATTAAAGAAATTATAATAATCTAGAGCATTTTTCTTTGTTTAAAGTATGTCCTTCAATCACAAAAGGTCATTTGAATATACAGTAGTTAATTGTAATCATTATTATAAGAATTAGATCATTAGATCTTCCTGGGAGTACCTGATTGTACATTATGTATGTCGTAATTACACTGTAATCTATTTTTATTAACTACTAAAAAATAAAAATGGTTTTTACTGCTGAGCAATGAGGTATTTTTAGTAGGAGTCTTTAAATATACTTGTACATAAGTCCATTGGAAATTAAACTTAAAGGGTACTCCTCTTTTATAGATAGATAATGGCATACACAAGTGTCTTGAATTAGGGTGTTTGTCAATTAATTGTGTGTACATGCAGCTTGATCAATTTGTTAAAATCTTCCTAATGATAGACTGAAATAAAAATGTTGTCCACTGCTGATTTAAAATCCTTGGATGAAATAAAAATGATGTCCACTGCTGATTTAAAATCCTTGAATGATGCATCTATATATATATGTAACTTTTCATATATCATTAAACCCTCAGACAATCCATTGGTTCAAAGTAATACAAGTGTTTTTATGTGGGGGGATGACTGCTTAAGCTATCTGTCTTATCATGTCGCATACAGGTCTAACCTGAACTCCCTCATATGGTTAACAGGCGGTTGAAGTCTTGTTCCTCGTAAGGAATGATTGATAAATAATTTTTAAAAAGTATGTACAAAGTATTCTTATGGAGAAATTGTTTGGTTATCATCAACTGAAGTTTTGCACTGGGCAAAGTTCATAACAAGTCTGATTTCATTGACTTACAGTGAGTTAAAATAATGGTGTACATTTTGAAATATAAACTTTGTACTACTGTTAGGTTCTCATGTTTTGCATACACCTAGTTTCATGTTTACATTACTGGTCAAAATCAATGTCAAAAGTTCAAATTTAATGGAATTTCACTACTTTTTTTATTTTCAAGTTTTATCACAGGGAATGAACCATTAAAAAATACATCTAAAAATTTGAGAAACATTTAGTCATTATTTTCGGGGTAAATGTACTTTTGAAGCTGTAGCCACTGTTCCCTGGCTGATTAATTCATGATATGAAAAAAACAGGAAATGGCTGAAAAAAAAAATTGAGTCAGAATGGTATCATGCCAGAATCACATGTTATGACTCAATATTTCACATAAACCAGTTTGATATTGATCCCCTGTTGTTTTCCTGTTTTGTGCAATAGTTTCTCCCCATGATCAACAGATGCACCATTTCCTCCAATAAGTTCTATTGCAGTGTACCATAATTATAGTTTTAAAACTGTATTGCGTAGGTTAGATCTAAAGCTTTCACTGTTGGAAGCTGGGTCACTCCAAGGTTCATCCCAGTCTTCTCACACCCCCCAAAAATGGCTGATATCACGATGGCAGTCAGCAGAAATTATTGGAAATTTTGTTTGGTGAGCTTTTTGTTTTTAAATGTACAGGTGTAGTGAAAAAAATGTTGAATGTGGTTTGAGCCTCAAGAAATGCTTGATTAATCATGCTAGTATCAGTATGGGGTGATGATTGTTGGATAATTGTCAAAAAATTTTTTTAAGGGCTCCATTCAAAAAGCTCACAGATATTTAGAATGATGTGTGTAATGATTTAATCTTTGGTTTGAAATACTGACAGAAATGATATCAGAATTAATTTTTTAGATCGGTGTATAATTATTGTGAACCTAGTGTCACTAAATAATATTCATAAGTTATACTTGAATTGTAGTTTAGGTAATACAAGTTATAGTTACTCACTACTGTATCATGTGTTTTTCTTCCAATTGGTAATATTTTAAGCCTGCTTGTCTTCAAGCTCCATGTATACATCAGTTTATTTTCTATTTGATATTATGGTTCAGATTTTTTGCTTTAATTTTGACATCATCATGGTAAATGAACCAATTATTGTATTTGTATCATCACAAGTGAGATATACTTGAAGCATAATTTTACTTGGATTTATATTTATTTTAATTTTACGATATTTAAAAGGCTACCGGTAGTTCAAATCTTAGAAGCTAGATTCATTTGTACTGCTGGAGTATCCTGATTTCATTAAAACAAGGCAATTGTTTGGGATTGTTGCCTTTAATTTCCTCTGTGGTACATGTACAATGGTAGAACTCTGTAAGAAAACTGAAAAAATCTCTGCAATGTGGTTCAGAGCCACCCTAAGTCAAAACAAAAATTCAAATTGGGTCTGAATTGTTGAAACAGGTGAATCTTGATGGTCTGATTACAATTTTGGCAATTTAAAAAATCCAGCTTACTCTGACTACTCATTTTTGAGCTCTATGTACAAGCATACAAAACTGAAAGTAAATGGTTTTCTAAGAGGCTGTTGGGTTGCTTTTATTAGTAACCTTATTTGACTAAAGAATCATGAGAACTTGTTATAAAATAATTGAATGAGCCTCTTTTGGGTACCATGTCTAAGGAAACAAACTTAAGCATGGAAGCTGTAATTCATCTAAGACTTCAGTTGGTGCAGTTGATATAATGAAACCATTTTTAGCCATCTTAAATAGTAAGTAACAGGACCCAAATGAGCCTGGTTAGGGCTCAAAACAGAAAGGTTTGTACATATACACTCACTACCAGATAATCTCAGTCCAAAGTCTTTGCTAACCACTGCACAACCGCACTATTCACTGTGGAAAGGTTCAGTTCTGAGGTCATCAGTTGAAATTTTTTAAGAAGTAAACTAAGTAAGTAAAGTGGTTGTAAATTAAATGTTTTTTCTTGTGTGTATAATTATACACATTTATGCTGCAAACAGGAGCAGTATGGGAACAAGAATTCAATTGGAGATAGATTGTGGAGAAGTGCTGAAATGGAGGTAATGTACAGCCATGTGGCATGAATTGGTGTAATGTCATTGAACTGTAATGTAGCATATTTACTACATATTAAGTAAAAATAAAAACTTTCATTTAAAAACCAGTTCTTACTGATTTGAACTGAAAGCATTAACTGCTTGTCTTGGCAAAGCAAAGATTTGTCAAAAGCTGACTTGAAGTACATTTAATTAATAACAAACATTGACTGAAGAGAAAATGTGGTATACTTTTTTTGTTCTAAGTTATAATTCTCAGTCTTTCTCATCCTGTCAGTTTGTTTAATATGTTTGTGGAGTTGATTTTGGTCCATACATATATCTTACTAACCAAGCGCGAGGGCCATACTGGGAGAATAACGGCCTGAGGTCTTGACAGTACGGACCGAGCACAGCGAGGTCCGTACAAAAAAGACCAAGGGCC